GAAGAACTCAACACCTAACCTCGACATTGTTCACAGGTTTCATCATACGTGAGCTTTGCAACGAAGGCAACCAGTGATTCCTGTAACCTACGTAATAATTCCGTAACTACAACGGGTAACGGGTAAATCTAACTCATTCCCGAAAGTTGTGCTTGTAAACCATAGCGTCATACTTCATAGAGTCACTCAAACTAGAAAAGCCTTACTGGATTGGAGGGCAGTAAATAGTGAATGCCCAACAAATGAAGTCTTGGTATACGTCAGCTAAAATGTTCCTCGACGTGTTCCGCACAACGTTCTAGCTGTATGTTCTGACAGGTTATAAGGAACCCAACCGGTTGTGTGGTAGCCACAACGGTCATCGTCTATTCCTCTGTGATAGTTTGTTGAAGAAGCGGAAACATTTCCAAGTATTCGCCAAGGCTGATATCTCCTCTATCTCCTTCGCTGTCTACCAAAGTTCACAACCTCATCAATCGACTTGCCTGTCTTACCTAGTATCCTCCGCCTGACCTCAATATTTCTCATATCGTGATTCCACACAAAGGCGAGCAACCCTACGAAGATACCCGTGATCAAAACCCTGTACTGCTTCATATCTTCTACTTTTAACGGTCATGTCTCACAGCCATATAGCTGGACAGAACAGACTGCAACACACTATGCTCGTACTTTGATAGACAGTCAGGTATCTCGCCAGTGCTACAGATGACGCAAGTTGGAAAATGCCAAACGAGCCTTCTGTATCCGAGCTGAGATTTCGTCATCAACCGGCCTGTTCGGACTGATGCAACTCCCCAAATAAGTGAAGTGGTCAACATGTTCTTCCACTTCACTCTCCACCATTAAACTAGGAGTGGTTGCAGGCCAGTCCTCCATGTAGCATCATCATACATTTCAAGGCTGCAAGACTCATATCGAACATACTCAGATTTCGACTCAACACGTTCAGAGGACCCTGGAGTTTTCCAGCGTATTCACCAAGCAGGACAACATCGTCCGCGTACTCCACGTAAACCAGATGACCTCCAGGCAGTTAATCAATCCCTGTGAAGTTAGACCTACCTAAGATTATGTCGATTAGTACATCTAGAACGAAGTTAAATAGGAACGGTGACAGTGGACATCCCTGACGGATATCACTAGGTGTCGTCAACTCTGATGAAAACTCCCCATAAGCACTTACACGGCTGCGTGAGTTCGAGTAGAGAGATTTGATTTGTGCGATATATTTTCTCAGTATTCCCTTCACATCCAGACAATGCCACAACACCTCATGGTCGATAGAGTCAAGTGTCACCTTCAGGTGAAGAAATGTTGCAAGTGTCGACCACCGGCCGATAAGTATGTCTGTGTTTCAGAACCTGTCGAGGGCTAAAACTATGGTCGATGCACCCTCGTTCAGGTCTGAAACCTGCCTAGTTTTCTCGAGTTTGCTGTTCTCCAGCTACACTTATGTATCGGATAACTATGGACCCTAGGATCTTAGACAATATAAGTCAAACTAATTCCCCTGTGATTGTCACAGGAAGACGTCTCTCCCTTCTTACAGACTGGGATGATCAGGGAAGAGGACCAGTCTGATGGCACTACCCCTGATTTCAATACACTCACTACCCAGTACCTCTGTCACTTTAGTTTATATATTAATATATATAATATATAGAATAAAAACAAAATTATCCCTCGCTAGAATCGGAGAGGCGAAATGACACCGGTTGGTGAAAGCCTTCAAGAAGCCAATTGGCCGATGTGTCTTCACTTCTCTCGATGAAAGCGAAAGTAAACGTGGGGACATGGAATATCCGCACCACGTTAGGGTTCTCTCCTTTCATACAAACTGTAATGACCAGTGATGTCGACCAGACTGAAGGGACTACTTCTGGTCCTCATACGTTACCTAATACGTTCTTTGCTATAGTCAATACCTTCCGTCCTATATCATTGGAGAATTCTGATGGTGAACATTCAGGTCGCGTACGGCTTTGCAACCCCTCAGTTTTGAAAAAGACTTCTAAACTTCTAAGAGAGGTATAGACCCAATAGCCACGTCCAATACAGGTTCATACTGCATGTTCAGAGTTACTGTAGGTCAGTTGGACTGTTCGTCGAAGTGTTCCGCAAAACTTTCTAGCTGTCTGTCCTGACAGGTTATAAGGGACCCAACCTTTTTATGATAGCCTCAATGGTAATCGACTACTTCGGCGTGCTAGTCTGTTGGTGGTGGCTTGGCATATGCTACACATATGCAATGCATCTGACAGTCAGTGAAGGTTCATAGTCTCACTGCTTGACTTATTTACTTTGCGAAGAACTCAACACCTAACCTCGACATTGTTCACAGGTTTCATCATACGTGAGCTTTGCAACGAAGGCAACCAGTGATTCCTGTAACCTACGTAATAATTCCGTAACTACAACGGGTAACGGGTAAATCTAACTCATTCCCGAAAGTTGTGCTTGTAAACCATAGCGTCATACTTCATAGAGTCACTCAAACTAGAAAAGCCTTACTGGATTGGAGGGCAGTAAATAGTGAATGCCCAACAAATGAAGTCTTGGTATACGTCAGCTAAAATGTTCCTCGACGTGTTCCGCACAACGTTCTAGCTGTATGTTCTGACAGGTTATAAGGAACCCAACCGTTTGTGTGGTAGCCACAACGGTCATCGTCTATTCCTCTGTGATAGTTTGTTGAAGAAGCGGAAACATTTCCAAGTATTCGCCAAGGCTGATATCTCCTCTATCTCCTTCGCTGTCACCACTCAGCGCTGCTCACAATCATTACGAAGACTCTTATCCAACTTACATTTGAGCTATCTTCACTTCTCATTGTGGTGAGAGGCAGCTGTAATGACTCTTCTTGTTTGGATGAGGTTGTAGAAATCCACTGTCTTTGACTAGCCTTGGAATACAGGTTATCGTATGTATTCACCGGTGTTTCTGGAGCAAACTGAATATTAGGTGATGTTGAATGGGATGAGAGTTGTAGCTATGTTGAGTTAAATGGCTAGTTACCTGTTCTCTAAAAAGAATCTTGACGTCCTCATCTTTCTATGAAACTCAACTTGTCTTTACTGCTTCATGTTTCCTGCTATCAGTATGGGGTAGACGTACTCGTGCTTTTGTACTAACATGTGATCGAAGTTAACAGAAGTACTCAAGAAAGAGCGGGACTCGTAGGCCGATCCTGCTCAAAGGTGGCTCATTGCAATATGATCTATCTGTGTCCATTGTTGGTTTGATGTCGGTGGACGCAGAGTGAGACTGCCTTTCATTTTATGCTTGTTGTTAGTGCTGGCCAGAATCAAGTGGTTGGTAGAGCCAGATTCCAAGAGGTTTTCAGTGTTTTTGGTTCTTTGTGATGGGATGCTTTGGATTTCTCCAAGCTGACTTTTCGAGTGGTCCAGCTTTCTTACTTAAGCTTTGAAGTTACCTACTACCTACTACTACTACTGCTACATCTGCGTGATTTTGGAGCTCTGCAGCTTTTGGTAGAGGTCCTGCTTTGTATTCTCCGGACTCCAGTCAGGTTTTAGGTAGTGAGTAGGAATTGCTTTGGCAGGTGTCACAGTCCTTTTCAGTTGTGAAGGATCCATTCAGTCGCAGAGCGCACAGGTGTTTGTTGACTAGAGTGCAGTAAAGGAGTGTGCTTTCTGCTGAAAAACTTACTTTAATTAGTGCAGCGAGTCTACGAGAGCTTGTCATTATAAGGTCTGCAGACAGCTGTTAAGTCAGTTTTGCATATTCACCACGTTAACCAGGTGAGATCATGTAAACAGATGCACGTGTATCCTGTATACGCAATGCCGAGACACTATGCATCCATTTTTTGAGATTGGAGAGTTTTAAAGGGGAAATTTGTTTTGGAATTCGGCATAGGGTCTGAACTTCGGAAGCTGGAATTTGAAATGGGTGAATCAAGTCGTGTTAGCGATTGCCACCGGGTAAGAAGTTGAAGAAAGCATAATGAAGTTAGTGTTGGGAGCAAGAAGTGAAGACAAGAGAGGAGACAAAGGTCATCGTCGTCAGCATCATCAACGTCAACATTGCTGCTTAACGATCCACCTTGCCACACATCGTATCAGCTCATCAAGCCAGAAGGCACTGAGACGAAAGATAATGAAATAAAGGAGAATCAGTCGAAATCAGTGGAAAGTAGTAAGAGAGAAGAAGAATGAATAAGGAAATCCTGGATTTCGTCTAGAAAGACGATGAAAGCTTCACAATTAAACAACCCAGATCAGAGAACAACCAAGTACTCTAACTGCACCGTGGGATTTGTTGTCGTGAGCTGTCTGGAAGAGAAGAGTGAGTGGTGTTGCACAACCACTGAGCTTGAGGGAAATCCGATTTATGGCGATCATATGCCGTCTTTTTAATGCGTTGCATTGAGATTTGATCGGGCTTATTTTGGACAAGGGAAATTCGTGCGACTGTTGCCGGAAGACCATAGGTCCTGGAGGATTCCGCTATTTTTAAAGCGGAAATTCTCTTATGCGTTCTTTTCGTAGGATGGGCTACATGAGTATGAACTACTTGTTATTTGTAGGATGTATCGCCTCGTGTAGTCAGAAATATGACTACACCATCTGTCCCCTATCATAATGTAGCTTTTTATATTATGAAGTGCAATGATTTTCGTCTTACCATAATCCTGTGAGCCTTTCTTGCATACCAGTTCTTCAAGGGACTGGAATTACAGCTGGTTTACCTATTTGGGTAGTTGTGCTACCTATACTGGACTATTAAGTTAAGATTCTCAGCTATGTGCGTCATTAGTTCGTTGAATGTCTCTTTCAGTGTTGTACTAGGCTAAGGAGGTTTATTACTCCGGAACCTTCGAGTGAAAAGAAATGACTCTGCATAACTTTTTGTTTACCTGTTGCTACCTAACCGATATTGAGATGTCATGGAAACCACTTGATTTTCTATATCTGATTAGGCAACTAACCGACTAGTAGCATCTATACCCTCTTTGGTTTTTATTCCCTGTTTAGTTTAACCCCCTGTTCGAGTGTGCCTTAAGCGCTGATTCAGATGGTATGTTGGAGTGCTGGTCCGGTCCAAAAAATAATTTCGACTTCCCGCACACGCTGAAATGGGAGTACAAATCAGATACAGACTTTTATTGTTTACTGATTTCTAAAACGTATGCTGTCAGTGTTGTGTTTTCGCCTTCTGGTGAAATACTGGCTGTACTTGGTGCGGATAGAAAGGTAAGCGTTTATTGTTAACAGTCTAGTAGCCACTGTGTTTCAGTGTTGGTTTCGTATTCTTAAAAACTGACTATGCATGAAGATGTTTATCAGTTTTCTATATGATTTAAAACCGAAGGATAGTTTCTGTCATGAATAAAAATCAGATAAGGAAATATTGAAGAGTATAAGGAAGACCTTAACACCATACATCTTGGATACCGCTCAGGATCTAACCCAAACATTATAGTTTATTAAACTATGGAATCTCGTAAACTGCAGTTAAGACGCATTGATAAAAGCCTGATAAAGCCAAATAAGTCCTTAAAAAAAACAAATTTTGATTAATAATCCTTGAGATTTATCAGAAGTTAGGAAATCTATAGTGAGTTGTTATGAACAAATGATCAACGTAATACTTACCATACAACTTTATTTCTCAGTTTTCTTATCACGATAAAAATCTATCTAAAATAGAATAAATGAAGACAGCTTCAAGTAGTCTTATGAAGTACGAAATTATTTTTCATACTGGTTAGGTCGCCATGGAAATGGATGAGCAGTTATTTATCTGCGCTTGTTTCATAGCTCTTCAAATGTACTTTTCTTGGGTAGAGCTTTCCGTATCAGCCTAACAGCGTTAATCACACTCCTGTGAATCTATACACATGATTACCCTAAAACAAACATCAAAAACTCTGCGCATGAAAACTGAGGCTAGAAGAACGATTAAGTTACTGAGTAACCTACAGCTTGACCTGGAAGTAACCTGAGATCATATTTATTTTATAGCTTCTCCTCAGTTGTAAACATAAGTAAATAAGTAATTTGCATGGGATAAAATCTAAAGTAAGCTTTTGCATTAGAATAAAGTAGCTGCTTAAATCAGTAAACACGAGTATACTGAGCAAAATCAATTGAAGACTATTGGCAATGCTAATTTGTAGTTGGGCCCAATTTTTTCTCATTTGACACGTTGCTGTTTAGTACTTTTTTGCAACTTATCTTACGACTCATAAGTAGTTTGATAACTGAACGAGAAATTTTGATGCTGCTTCTGAAATATTTCTGAGCAGAAGTTTGAAGGAAGATAGGAAATAAATTTAACAGTTCATATATGGGAGTAGTGTGGAGATCTTCTGCACTCAGCATGCGGAACAAGATACGGATTTTCAACACCAACGTCAAGTCAGTGCTCTTGTATGGTTCAGAGACGGCGCGTTACGAAAGGCATTTCCAATAAACTACAGACATTCATGAACAACTGCTTACGCTCGCTACTGGAGATCAGATGGCCAGAAAGAATAAGCAACAAGGAACTCTAGGAACGAACCAACCAAGAAGCTATCACGCAACAAATATGCAGGAAGAAGTGGAGATGGATTGGCCATACACTGAGAAGGCCGACTGAGGACATCACGCGTCAGGCCCTCGAGTGGAATCCCCATGGGAAGCGACGAGTTGGACGTCCAAGGGTGACATGGAGGAGGTCGTGCGAGGAGGAAATGAGAGCTTGTGGGCTGTCGTGGGACCAGGTTCAAAATATCTCAGAGAACAGAGGTCACTGGAGGCGTGCTACTGAAGCCCTATGTTCCACTAGGAACCCAAGGGACTAATAATAATAATAATAATAATAATAATAATAATAATAATAATAATAATAATAATATATGGGAGTCTTTATTTCAAAGATTTTTGCAGTAAATTCAGTTTGCAGCTAAAAAGGAACTTTAAGAGCTGATAAGTAATGATGCTGGAATTTGTTTGTAGACAGTTCACTGGTGTTATCTCTCAGCCGTGATGGTTAGCAGCATTGACTGTTTTATTGCTGTGAGTTCTTTGCACACCGTAGCCCGTGAATCTGTGTTGTTTGCCCAGTTTTTAGAAATGCTATCGAGTGGGTACAGATGTGGTTCCTTAAATGTAGCTCCATCTTACTCTGATATTTTATAACCAGATGTGTATGCTTTTACCTACATAAAGTGAAGTACAAAATGTTAAATAGTGTCCTATTTGATCTAGAATTATCCTCCTTGGTACATTTAAGGTCAGTGATACAATTGTGTAGTTACACTTCCTGGTTGCACAAATTTAGAATGACAAAAAATTCCAATTGACATCGAGAAAAAGATGTAACATTTATTTTCTATGGAGTAGTAATCAGTATATACCTTTTCAGATACCACCATGCCACATATCATCATCATAATATGTCTCAGACTTCAAAAGTTTTTGGTCCCTGAACGTAAGGAGTGAAAGTAATTTGTGCCAGGCAAAATAGGTTGATAAAACCTCTAAGTTGCTTTTTTTTCCTAATTATTGGAAATCCTCCTTATGCGTTGTATATCTAATGGGTTCCATCTCAAAGGTTGGTCAAATGAGACAACATTCTGATGGCTGGTGTGAATTGAGTCAAGATTACATCATACGGTTTTGCTGTTGTGACTTTCGATGGATACCCCGCTGAAATTAAGATTGCCTGATAGGAAATTGTTCGTTTGCGTCAACTTCAGCATAAACCAGATACTGTTTCCCAACCACCAGAAACTCACATCATATCTTGTGTTATTACTTACGTAACACGTTTCATTTCCTATAACATTTAGTGAATAGGTCTGTTCTTTTTAATTGATATACATTATTAACATGTCTACAAGTATACTTATTTATTTCCCTCACTATAAATTTATTTAGACTAATTGGCTAGTTAGTTAGGCAGCGGATATCTTCGACAACTGCTCAATGTTTGCTTAGTTTTCATAAGTAGTAGCCAATGCTTCGTCATCATGCTCGGAGACTCCGTCAATACTGACTTAATAACCAATGAAGTGGTGTGTATTGTCCACTAGCGTTTGGAAATATCTTATTTTTATGTGAAGTTATATCGATATCATCGCCTCATCTAGTGGTCAAACGTTCCTACGGAATTATTACAACGTAGATTAACGAAGACAATCATAATCCTCATTCTGAGTGACAAATCTCTATTATGTACTGCAAGCGTATATTGTTGTGATGGTTATGTTAGGTTTGGTATCTTTTTGAAACAAAATTTTATACTATCATAAGAATATTTACTTAATTATATCCTTATAATGATTTCATCAGAACTGGCGCTCAACTTGCTTCCAGGACATTCCTAACAACTATTGTCTGGATGTTTACAAAATCTTATATTGTATATTTTTCAGATACGATTGTTTCGTTTTTCTACTGGTAAACTAATCCGCGTCTATGATGAAAGCCTTCAACAGTATTCTAATTTACAACAGGTGTGTAACAATTGAAATAAATTTCTTATAATTGCTTACCCTGTTTTACTGAAGTTTATTTACACCCAGTATACATTTGGAATGTCATTTTATTTGCGTACTGTATCTGTCGGGCTAAGAGAATATTTCTTGGTCATGTTGTAGTTTCAAGACAGTGTCATAAAAAAGGTTGACGGTTGTTTAATGGTGTTTTTTTCGTAAAACTTTGCGAAAAGCATATATGATTGGAAGCCCCAATCGTCTAGGTTAAATTGAGTTTGCTAACTGAGAGGATGTAGAGCTTCGTCTTACTGCATGTTAGTGCAGTTTACGACTTTATTTAACAGAGTTACAAAGAAAATTCAAAGTAGATAATAATAGTGAACGAAAGTTGGCGAATGCAAAAATAGGAATCACAGGTGTACAAAAACCAGAGAAGAACAGAATGAATGCTGTTACATTACTGTAATCAATTCTCAACCGTGTTGGCTAGAATTTGCAGTTACCAGTTTCCAATTTGCAGACGTTTATTATCACTCAGACTTGTTTACAACTCTGTAATTGTATACTGCGATTATGAATTACAAATATCATTGCGTTAGTTCACTGACGTCTCTCAGAACCCATCTAGTGGTTGCTCATAATATTCTTTAACTTTTGAAAATTAATGCAAAACTATTAAAGTCTCACATTTAGTTCTTCCACATCAAGAATACCTTTGGAACACTATTTTGTGATTTAACTGTATCTTACCTACTCATAAGTAGTCAAACTGTTGTATGCAAAACCTTCACAAAATATTGTTTCATTTTTCTTTTTCTAGACAAAGCAGTTGCTTCCTAGTATGGAATTCGGTCGGCGTTTGGCTCAAGAGAAAGAACTTGATCGATCAGAATTCAAGCATAGTTGTAATTTAAGTAAGACTATATATCTTATTGTGTGAATACAAACTGTTGTCAAAATTATTCTGTTGAGTTATAAAATGAAGTGACATTAGGTTTGAATGAGCTTCAGGGACTTTCGAGGTCAATCGTTTGTAGGTATGTTGGCTTTGATGTTTAAAAATTATAAATTTGTTTCACATACCTCAGGTATCGTAGGATAACTTCTTTTAATCTTATTCGCGTAGCGTTATGATGGGCGACATGCATTCAGTTGTCGACGTGCCATACTAGGCGAAGCTGGATTAGGTTGCAAGAGGTTTCAGGATGGCCAGACCAAGATGTGGGATCAGTCAATGAAAGTCCCTGACTGTTGGGCTGAGTTGTATGGGGAGGTGTTGATTGCCTGGCTTGGATCCCCGAGACTATCGGGGTCAGTGAATGAAAAATCTTGGTGACATGGCTGAGAGTCGGTCATAATGGCATAGATTTATTCACTTGTTGGTGTCTTCGAAAGCATGAATATTTACACTGACCTATATCTTCAGATTGCTCATTCTCCTAGACAACTTTTTCCACTTTGATATCACTCTTTTTCTATCTACCTGTTCTTCGTATACTATTATGAAGTGTGGCAACTTGAGCCGATGCACTTGTGTGTGAAGTTCTACGTTGACTTTGTCTGTCTGTCTAACTCAGTTCTCTGATCTTCATGTGCATTTATTTATAGAGATGGTGGTAGGTATTTTTTGGCAGTTTTCGAGATTTCCTGTTTTGTTCGGCCTCTAAACTTGAGTTTTGGGAGGTGAATGCTTTATATTTGCGTTAACCACCACCATCGATTCAAATATATGAAACCATGGGAAACTTTGACTTTCATTGGTGTCCAGCATTATGTCGAAGCATAAACTCCAAATACCGCAACTCAGGCAAAAAATAAGTGCGCTAAAGGTATTTCCATGACATTTCATTCAATCCTAATAAGGCTGTTTGAACATATTCATAATTATTTTACTGCAGTATGAGTATGAAGGAATTTGAACATTAGCAACTACGATGCAATTTTGATGACCGAGGTGGTTAATATGAGTTTGTCACTTATGGTTTAGTCAGTTGTATCTTGACATAACATCTCATTATGCATAAACACAATCTTTAACACTTCAGTGGGGATTCCTACAATTTATTTGATTACGGCCACAGTATATGGGCCCTTCAAATATAGTCTGCATCTGTGTGATTGCTAGATGCAATCAATCAGGTGTAATTACGAGTTAAAAATATCCATATAGGATTAAGTTATTTGATTGCTTTATAAAGTTGTACGGATGGTAATATTCCGCATAACACTGAAACTTTTATTAACCGAGTATGTAGTGTTTGCATAGTGAGCCGATACTATTAGATTTCTGGTGGGTGACAGTTATAATTGTTTATTTATCAATCCCTACCTAAAATTTTAATTTGGTTGGGTTTGTCTATTCTTTTTTGTCCAAACTTCCCTCTAGTTTTTGATTCATCCAGTAACTTTTTAGCTTATGCTACTCTATTGGGAATAAAAGTGATCAATATAGTAACGAATCAAGTCGTGAGAAACCTGGGTGGACCAGAGAATCTACGTTTCATTCAATTGGCTTTTATACCACCGCGTAGCTCCTCATTATTCTATGGGTCCACTAGTATTGGTTCGGGTACGTCAAGTTGTGTGCCCAGCCTGGAAATGTTGGCAATGGCAAATGATGAAAATTCAACAGCGAACAATAGTAGCAGTAGTACACCGTGTAATACCGTAGCATCACGTACTCCAGTGTTGGTTTGTACAGCCTTCAAGAAAAATCGTATCTATTTATTTACAAATCGTGAACCGCACGATGTAAAGTCTGAGTAAGTTATCAATAAGTTTTGCATGTTTGTTTTTTTCTGTATTACTAGTTCGTTGTCAAATTGGCATGAATTGGTCATTGAATTGTGATACGTGTTATAAAGTATAGACCTCTGTACTGATACAATCCAACCGATCATGTTATAGAATATTACCTTCTAGTGTAAACTAATTTATATTACATTTGAACACAACCATGAATTGCTTTTACCGAAGCATATGAGGAACGCTTTAGCAATATGTTCTCTTCTCCAATTATTTTCTTTTTAATTTGGGCGTTTGTGGGGATTTAGATATATTTCAAGCTGGTATTCATCGTAGACTGACATCAGTTGGAGGAACAATAGAAGTTCAATTGAACTAGTGCTTATTGGTGACTAGCTTCGAGAGGTGATTCCCGAAGTTCCAGTGAGAAGTCATGACCAGTGGGACAAACCTGGTGGCCGTGAGGACAAATACTCAACGATGATACTGGGTGGCGGTCGCACTATGTCGTGAACTGACAGAAGTTGGAAATATGGACCATTGGATTCCAACTCAATGGCTCAATGGTAACGTGCTGGCCACGGAACCTGAAGGTCGCGGGTTCGACCCCTGGCGGGGTTGTGGGTGCGCACTGCTGAGAAGTCCCATACTAGGACGAAACAGCTGTCCAGTGCTCCTAGGTTCCCATTGTTCCTCTAACTGATGTCAGTCTACTATGAATACCAGCTTGAAATATTTGCTAATCTCCGAACGCAATGATTCCAACACACATAATTGGCAGGATTGGTGATCATGTACTTGCGACCTTCACCTATGTTTCACCGTTAACGATCAGCTTTTCACTAGTCAGTATCAGTTCACAGAGCATTGGGAATCACAGAATATTCATTGGTGACCTGCAGCTGAAATTGATGGGTTGAACCAGTGGCCTTCTGCCATGGCCCAATTTCTCATTTCATGTGTTTGATTTTCTCATGTACGATAAGCCTAGTTGGATAGTATGTTTGCTAATAGGAGAACTTAGCCTCCGTTTTAAAACTACTCTGTAAGATCCTCGTCTGTATGGTAACTCGATATAAACGCATTTCTTAGGAGCAGAATACAGACTGGGTTTCAACTCTGGCTGATTTCCCCATTAATGTTGCGCTTAGTATTTGAATATCATCATCTATTGAGTCTTCCTTACAGATAATCTAGATCGTTTTGAATAGTCATATTATCAAACCTCACTTGTATTGAGTTGGACAAAGCTGTGGAAACTTAAATACTGACCTATCCAAGTAGGTTTTGTGTATATCAACCGTTTTATTGAGTCGTCTCTACAACTCAGGAGTATATCAAAGGATGACAGACAGTTGTCTTTCGATTCTCCACATGTTAGGTGTATATTGTTTTTTACGGTATCAACTCTTTCTGCCAAACATGTTACATCTTCATGCTTGTCACATATCACAATTACATCATCAACATACCTCTTACAGATAGTAACTTTACTGATAAGGTCTACCAGCCAAGACTTCATATACGGTATGTAAATATCCCATGGCCAAACCATCTATTTGTCGAAAATGTTTCCCTTCGAGATATGCACTTGTGGGTGGATCGGAGGGTGGGGGGAGAACATGTACTAAAAGGGCTATACTAGTAACTGGATTCACAAACATCAATAAGCGCAGTGGCAGACAACCATCGTCGTCCATTGCAAGGCATATTATTAATGAAGATGTTTAAAAAGACAAAGATATAATGCATCTGAAACAATCAGCAGACCGACATTTAGGGCAAAATAATCCGTGCATTTATACTGTAGACCTATTGAAGTTGCATATAATCTAGTAATTTTTTGTTATTTGTCCGTTGGGTTCCTAGTGGAACATAAGGCTCCAGTAGCACGTCACTCTTTCACTCCACGACTGCTCAGAAGCTTTCATTTCTTCATCACACCATCTCCTCCATGTCACCCTCAGCTGGAACGCCCAACTTGTCGTTTCCCCTTTGGGTTACAGTCAAGGGTCTGGCCTGGTGCATGACGTCTCCGAATGGTTTTTTCAGTGTATGCCCAACCCAATGCATCTCCACTTTCTTCTGGATGTTTGTTGGGCGATGGGTTCTTGGTTTGTTTGTTGCCAGCCAGCCAGCCAGCCAGTCAGTCAGTCAGTCAGTCAGAGTTCCTTGTTGCTTATTCTTTCTGACCATCCATCTGATCTTCAGTATAATTTAGTAGATTAATCTGTAAATAATACAAACCAACAGGTAGCAGAGCTAATTTCATCGCGTTACCTGATGGGTGAAAAATGAATGGGTTGTAAATCAGAAGCCGCACAAACCTATACTTAGCTGTCGAATTCCGCTATCGATAATGAGTCGGTAATTTAAGACAGCCTGTACAGTTGTGCTTGTGTTTAAAAAAGTGAACCAGTTCACAACACCTTTTTATTTGAACAGCACTCACTGAGAGATTCGAATAACGGTCGATGGCAATAGACTGTGATTTGTTTCCAATGTTTTTCAGTACTATTGTGAATTTTTAGAAAATAAAATCGTTTCAGCAAAAAATCTTCACCGTTACATCTTTGTTTTTATAACAATTAAGCGCCCATTTTTCCACAAGGTAGTTGTATACTTACATAAGTTTAGATCATTTTTGCCATCATAGACCTCCTTTAATCGCTTCCTTATACCATCTGTCGAGTGCATATATCGCTCTTGTTAACCTGCTGTGTTGTTGTAAGGCACGTTTTCGCTTCGCTTCTACTTGCTTTCATTTTCTTTTGCTGCTATACTGTAGTTATCATTTTATTATGATGTTAGTCAATTCTGTCTTCCTGTCTGATCCTGTGGTCAGTTTATCTCTCTGCCTCATCCATCAATTCATCTATGCATATGCTTACACCTATCAAGTCACAGAGACTAAATAGTAGTGTTATTGTGAGGTTTTCATCCTTCAGTGTTAAAAATGTATCGATAGATGAAGGGAAAACTATGCAACAGTTAGTCAGTTACTTTTGCATTTCACTTTATATCATTTTGTAAGCATATACGCCTATGTGTCATATTCCTACCCTTTTCGGTTGTTTTTTTTGAAAAAACGTTTTAGTTCATCGAATTCTGGAAAAAGTTTTTTACTATTCGTTCTTCTCATATCCAGACTATACACATTGCATGCAGTAATAATTTTTATCGCTACACTGTATTGTAGAGAACAATTATATGTATAATAGGTTTCACTTTTTCTGCCTTTCCTATCCCCACTCGGAAAATACCCTCACCTGCCTGTCTGCTAATCCCGTCACAGTCAGGCCAATTCGTGAACTAATTGAACTGGATAATGATTGATTTGTCTTTCTTTTTCTTTTAAGGAAGAAAAAGTTGTCTGCTTTCATTGGATTATTGACTTGATGATTAAATTTTACTACTTAAATTGTATGATTTTGTTTTCATTTATTTCTGAGAAACTTTTAGTTTAAAACAAGTAACGAATGTAAAAAAGCAGGACCTTATAAATTCATAGACTTCAGTAGTACTCATCAGCTGGATACTCTACTCTACATACTTAATTATATATACTGTTAAACAATGCATAAGAATACACATACATACAGATATAATGTAGACTGAGACAGATTTAGATGTAACAACATAGAAGTGAACAGTTTTACGGGTCAAACGGTATAAATGGATATTAAAATGAATGGGTTAGGGATAGATTAATTGAGTCCGGATAATAGTGGATTTCAGGTAGGAAAATAATTATAATAACAGTAATAACAAGAACTGAATCGATTGAGCGTCGATCACGCCATTGAAAACAAGATAGTTAATAGTACTTATGCGGATATAATGAGAAAACCAGGTGTATATTGAGATGAATATTAATGATAACAATGGTAATAAGGTTAGTTTGGCGAAACAAATCAAGGAAGGAAAATAAAATATCATATAGGTGATAATTAAGAGCGAAGAGCAAGTAAGAAAGACTAAGTATGATTAGACAATATTGTAATTCCTACCATGGCAGATTCAAGCCGACCACCATTTCCTTCTGTATGCAGAGGTTTGATTTGACGACTCGAATTGCACAGGCTTTTGCATATTCAACCAACTTCTTATTTTGCTGTCTACTGATAACTGTAAAGGACTTACAGGTATCAGTATCATGTCCATAGTTCATTAAGTGTTTCGTTATCCAGATCCTCGGAGTCTTCTTCTCGACATGTTTCAACCATTTTGGATAGGTGCTCAACCATTCGGGTAGACAGACGCCTCTCCATATGACCAATGTATTTGTATGTATGTATGCATGTTCTTTTCCATTGTTTAACGGTATATATAATCAAGTATATAGAGTATCCAGCTGACAAGTACTACTGAGATTTATGAATTCATTAAATCCTGCTCTTTTTCACATTCGTTGCTTGTTTTAAATTTGTATCGGGAAACAAATGTTTTCAAACTTTTAGTTGTTTCAATTTCAAGCAAAAACATTTTATTTGTCAACTACTTTAAAGCTACCTAGAAATAAATAAAAGTACTGTGGGTGATGTATTAAAGCTAGTTACGGTCTCATGGAATTCTACTCTGTTACTGATTGTTCCAGTCTATCGAGAATGACATAAATCTTCAAGTCCACAGTTTGAGTTTCTTGAATATTGGGCAGAATGGATTCACCATGCAATATCTCAGCTTGGAAACAAAATTTTTTGAAGGAGTAAGGCTGTGAACTTATATTTTATTATCAATTCAATCAATGTAACAGTCGAAATTGTTGATTGCACTTTAAGAATTGTCAAACATCCTCAACTTCAAACAGTCTCGCTTTATATGTTCAGAGTCGAGCAATATATGCACTGAAATTGCCGTACAATTTATCTTTCAAAGATCAATAATGGCAGTAAAGCATATTCATCTTTGAAAAGTACTTAAAGTATTAGCGCAAAGCTTACATTGTACTTGTGCACGAGGAATACCATCTTGTCAAGTACGATTTCAGTAGCCTTTCTGTCTTCACACCACAGACAGTATTATCCGAGTGCTTAAGATGGAAAGTGTTTCTTTCAGTAGTAGATTTATACCTACTTACCTAAGAGCACATGTGTCCACAGAATATCAACGAAACACCTACGAAGAAGTGGGGATTTACATCGTTCCTTGTGTAGGCCAACTTCTCATTTCAAAAAGGGCGATCAGGGGATGTCAGTTAACTTCTCATGAACATGTGTCGAATAAAAGGTTTTAAAAACAAAGTCCCATCTAACTTACGAAAGGCAAAATGTTTATCAATTTGTTATTTGTGTGTTATATAATAGTCTTCGGGTTTTGTCAAAAAATTTCATCAATGCATCCACAGTCTAAAAAGCTAATCACTTTTTATCTTCCTTTTTACACAATCTACACAGTATGAGGATAGTCAATCATTTGAATCGATTAGTTACTTTGATTCCGATTGGAACATTCACTTTACTGTGTTTTTACGCACGCTCTGAAACGGTACTTCAAGGTTTTGTGTTTCCCTTGTCTTCCATTGATGACATCTACGTTTCAGCTGAACAGTTTCTGTTTTATTGCCATCGTCTACTGGGAGGATATAAACAACATTTTGTTCTTGATCAGTGTTGTTTTGACAAAACACTGTCGAGTATATTGTTCGACTCACCTTTCATTTTGAGGTTGATAGGGGACACTGAGCAGATACAAGGTGAATAACTTATGACTGAAAAAATGAATGGCTTGAAATCGCTTTTTTCCATGTCGAACTGAACGGCTAACTATGCGAATTCAAGAAACAGATTCATACAATACCCATTTAAGAAAGTACTAGCAAGTTGCAACGTTAATATCCGTATTCAGAAGATCTCTCAACCCAGTAACTGTATCACCTTTATTTGCTGTTTGGTTCCCGATCAGCATTGTGTACACCAGAGTGTAATGTAATTTTACTTTTCAGTTTCCTCCATTTTGTATGTTGAATAAGTAGCAGTTCTTTCAGATAATAACCATAATTCTCTTTAAATTCACTCCATTCCTAGTGGCGATACAGTTACACCAGGATCTACAGCTGAACGCGATGTATTCAATGAGAAGCCTACTAAAGAGGAAGTCTTGGCCGCTACAAGGGATTCAGCTACTGCTGCCTCTCGACTTGCTGGTAGTGCTATCCTACACACTACTTTGGGTGATATACACATTCGTCTTTGTCCTAGAGAGTGTCCTAGAACTGTGGAGAATTTTGTTGGTCATTCTCGAGCTGGATATTACAATGGTCATATATTCCATAGAGTTATTAAGGGTTTCATGATTCAAACTGGTTGTCCTTTGGGTAAGTGAAGCAGTTTTAACTGGTTTCAACTGCTTATTGAAAGTTATGTGTAAGTTATATATGCTATACTACAGGTTAGACAGCGTTCATTGTACTTGTTTCAGTGATATACGTTAACACGAATCCTGGTACAGGTATTCTTCTTACGCCACCAAGAGTGCTAGAAACTATTAGACAGTTCACAGTCGATGAAATGAATATTGACTTCAAGTTGAGGAACCTGTTCTTCAGGTCTAGGATTTCGAAAGTAATGTAGTCGAATTTTTACTCCCTGAATCCTAATCGCCTTTGATGTTAAGTGATCATTGTCAATTCCCTGAGAGCATGTCAGAATACCAGACATTGTCGAAGTGTTTTTCTATTTCAATTTAAAATCCCCCACTAATTTTAAAAGACTATTATTATTATTTTTCCCTTGGGTTCCTAGTGGAACATAGGGCTTCAGTAGCACATCTTCATTACACTCTGTTCTCTGCAATCTTTTGAACCTGGCTCCATGACTGTCCATAAGCTCTCATTTCTTCCTTACACGATCTTCTCCATGTCACCGTTGGACGCCCAACTCACCGTTTGCCATCTGAGTTCCACCCGAGTGCCTGGTGCGTGATGTCCCCGAATGGTCTTCTCAGTGTGTGCACAGTCCAATGCATCTCCACTTTCTTCTGGATGTTTGTTGGGCGATGGGTTGTTGGTTTGTTTGCTGCCAGCCAGCCAGTCAGTCAGTCAGTCAGAGTTCCTTGTTGCTTATTCTTTCTGACCATCCATCTGAGCCTCAGTATCGAGTCAGCGTAGGCAGCTGTTGATGAATGTCTGTAGTTTGCTGGAAATGCTTTTCGTGATACGCCAAATCTCGGAACCATATAGAAGCAGTGACTGACATTAGTCTTAAAAATCCTGATCTTGTTGACGCTTTATGCTGAGTGGAGTAGACCTCCACACTGATTTCAGGTTAGTGCAGGAAGGCCTGTGTTGCTGTCTTTCCGATCCTGACTAGTTTTGACGTCCTCATCTGTGCCACCTGTGGTTGAAACGATGCTGCCTAGATAGATGAAAGAGGCTACTTCCTTTAAGTTTCTCCCGTTGATGGTGATTGGTTGTTGTTGTTGTTGTTCATGGCATTGGTTGGGTATCTTCATCACCTCTGTCTTCTCTACGTCCACCTGAAGGAAGTCCCGTCTTCGCTGCCTCACCTCCTCTGCCAACTTGTTGGTTTCTGTCTGTAGATCTTCGAGTTTGTGCGACGAAACATTGGACATAAATCATCATCGGCGAAATCTAGCTCTTCTAGGATCTTTTCCGCGGTCCAACGTATCCCCCTCTCCTCGCTGCTCACTGTTGCTGTTTGCTGTTTGCAGTCCAGTCCAGTCGACCACAATCAGGAATATCATGGGTGATAGTAGACAGCCTTGTCTTACTCCTGTCTTCACTTCAAAGGCGTCACTGAGCTTTCCATTGTGAATTACGTGACATGTGGCGTTTTCATGCACAATCTTTTTAATCAGTGCCTAATTTTGAATGTCTGCAGAAACATTAAAGGTCATTTATGTCGTTCTTATTCATTCTACTTACCTTGAAATTTGTCACAAGGATCTGTTTGGAAAAGAAAATATGCTTACCTAAACCATGCGAAAAGTAGAATTTATTCTGGGAGGATAATGTCTTTGTTGAAACTATTTGGTGTAGTTTCAGATGAATGAACTTACCTTCTCGGTGAGACTAAAAATTGTACAAGAAACTGAAAATGTCAGTTTTGTAGTTGGTGTTTTTGGCTTTCAAGTAATTTTTCGGTTTACAAATTAATTATTAAGAAGTCGTTTTTCTAATAATAGAACAGTTTTTGTGATCATTAATCATTGAATGACCAATGATGGCGCACTTATATGTGTTTGAAAAAATTGGTGAAGCTATTTCTAAGTTTCTTTCCGGAACTATACTTAATCTATTAATAACGGATAGTGGCTAGCAGCGGAATCCGGGACGCGCGTTTCTTCCTGTTTAGGACTCTTCAGCTGGATGTACCTGCCTCCCAGTGAGCGATGTTGTTCCCACTAGGGACCGAACTCGGGGCCATTCGCTCCAAACTCCAGAGCATTACCTATTATACCACCGAGTCACAATAGCCACTTCTTGTCCGACGGGTATAGTTTTAATGTTACATGTATTACCCCGTCGTTGAGTGGACCGAATTGATCGCGCGGATGCTTCGATGCTCCCTGCTTTTCCATTATATGTTAATGATGGATAGTGGCAAGCAGCGGAATCTAGGACGCGCGTTTCATCCTATTTGGGACGCCAGAGCGTTACCAAGTCACAATAGCCACTTCTTGTGTGACAAGTATTATGATGGGATACTACAAGCAATGATCTTAAAACTATACTCGTGAAGTAGCTATCGTGACTCGGTGGTCTAGCAGATAGCGCTTTGGCGTTTGAAGCGATCTGTCTTGAGGTAAAGTCCTAGTGGGAACAATATCGTTAACTGGGAGGCAATTACATCCAGCTGACGAGTCCCAAACAGGACGAAGAGTGTGCTGATTCTGTTTAGATGGAAGGGTTAACAATCCCTGGCATAAACGAGGAGAAACTGCATCTTGGCTTTCAAGCTACTCTGAGGAATCTTAGGTATGATATAGCTGTCCTTGTCTCTAATTTGTTTATTCTTATAATCTTCAAAGATTGTCTTTAACCTGTTTGAATGTTACCTTTTATCCTAGGCACTGGCACTGGTGGTGAATCAATATGGGGTGGAGAATTCGAGGATGAATTTCATCCTAGTCTTAGACATGATCGACCGTACACTGTCAGTATGGCTAATGCTGGTCCAAATACAAATGGTTCACAGTTTTTCATAACTGTTGCTCCAACAGTAGGTGCCGTAATAAGAATAATGATTCACCAATATCCTGTTATGAAATTCTCTTTTTGTAGTTTTTTAAATTTTTGTTAAGAAATCCGACATCTTTGGTTTAGAACGTGACCAAAATATTCGCTAGCCGAAATTTTTTCACTTCTAACATAATTATAAAGGAAATATATGTGTAAAATCCCAATGAGGCAGAGAAATAAATTTCTGACGTTTTAGGACTTCATAGAAATCGCTTCTACAAATTATCCCTCAACTTATTTAACTCTGTCACGTTCAATTTTAATCCTGAAATCTATAAAATCGTTTCTAACATAATGTTCAGCGATGTGGTGTAAAGAATGGAAAATAATGGATATTGCGATGATCTGGGTCCGTTACTTGCTTATTTGTTAGGATATTCGCCTACGCCATTCCACAGTTACTATAGTGGTTGTTATCAGGCTTGACAGTGGGTTTTAATCCCCGGATTTGTTCAAAGGTATTGACCCGGAATTGCTAATCAGAATGACTCATGTACTGACCAGTTCTTGGTCCGTCGTCATATTCTGGAACATGTGTTTGCTGTCGCTTAGTAACAGTTACATTTCTTCTCAAGAAGTCGGTATTTGATCCTATCGGTTGAGGTATTGCTGGAAGATGTCTCTCTTAGAAAGGAGTGTTTAGTAAGTTTATTGTCGTACTGAATGCTGCTTACTCAGATACTGGTAGTCGTTTGGGAGCTCACAGTGATCTGTATTCTAATATGGATGCTTCTGATGGTGTTCACCGAGGATGTCGACTGTTATCATTTGTATATAGCGTCATCATATACGCTACTAATACGTTCTTATAACTTCACGTACATAAATCTACCCACCGAAGGATCCTTTGTTTACTCGAGTATAAAGACAACGTATTTCTGTTAGTTAACGATACTCACAACATGGAAAGTTTCCTGAAAAACAGTTCAAGGGTATTTGAATTTCGGTTTTAATCTTATAAAGGCGAAAACTTACTTCAGAAGCCTAGTGAACTTGCACCTTGTTTCACAGTAAAGAAGGCGAAGTAATAAGAAGTATTGGAAATTTCCTAAAATCATCATCCGCATAGTTGCGGGTACTTTAATCATTGAAATTTTCACCATCTTCTAGAATATTCCTTTTGCATTCGATAGATGACTTTGTACAGAGTTGCATATAATATCCATTTTTCTGTATCTAACACTTTTTGGTAAGATGTTCTGCCGTAAACATTCGTGTAATAAGAAAAGCTGCTCTCGTGTGGAAGCTCTCCGACTGGCGAAGTTCTGAGCACAGGGAAGCGCTTTGTGCTCAAAAGATTTTGAAATGATGGAAACAATTTCTAGCTCAGGATGAGGATGATGGTGGTTCGGTGTTCTTTTTTTATTAAGTTAATGCTGAAGATGTCACTAAGCCTAGTGATAAAACGTTCACGACAAAACATCAAATCTCAGAGGACACCAAATAGCCAATATCCATTTTGTCGTGAGGTCAGATATTCTGCAGTTTTCTTCCATACCTTAAAAGACGGTTTATAAACAAATCATCCAGGTTCTATGCTAACCCTTAGTGCAGCTGACTATGCATTAGGGGTATAATACAGGATACTGGCGGCAATAAATAACCTATTTATTTCTTCAAAAGGTATTTACCTAACTAATCAACATTGTCGTGTATGTTATGAAGTGAAATGTGATTGTTATTAGCCCTTTTATTTGCCTCATTCTCATTCGCTATTTTGTCTTTCGTCATTCCCTTCCTCTCTGTATTCCAACTAGCCCTGGCTTGATAATAAGCACACAGTATTTGGTCGTGTTATCAAAGGCATGGAAGTTGTACAAAAGATATCAAATATTAAAACTAATCCAAAAAATGACAAACCTTTAGAAGATGTGAATATTATAAGTGTAACTGTAAAAGATTTAGGTACTGGTATATAATAATGACTAACCCACTTTATATTCGTCTTAATTTGTATTCACTTGTAAAAAGAAGTAAGACTATTGCTAATTTCTCTTCGCTTATCTGTTCATATTAAAATGTATAAATATTCAGTGAATAAAGTGTTGACTGAAAGTCGTGTGTTCTATTTTATTCACATATTGTCAATGGTTAGTCTACAAGAGAGATACTAACAGATCTTATATGCTAAAATACCATGTGTAGAACAATAGCTTGCAACGAATTCATTATTGTATCACCTTCATTTTGTTTCCTAACTTGCATTGCCCACCCTTTATTTATCTTGGACCTTATTTTGGCATATAAGTGAGTGCAACTCAATCCGACTGTAAATTTATACGACGCACTTTAAGCCTGTGATATTAACTGGTTGACTTGGTTGACTTATTGAGTCGGTAGTTGAACCTGCAACCGACTGCTTAAACCTCGAAGGCTTCAACCAGTGAGTCACATCTCCAGACCATTATGCAATATTATTTTTGAAACTACTTTATCTCAACTTCTGTCCCCTCACCTGATTCAATTAAAACCTTCCTCACATTTCTCATCTTTCTCGCATCCATTTGAAAAGTCATAAAATTGCGATTGTATTCCTTTGGCGAAAGCAATTATCAACCGCACACATTTAGTATATGAACATCTTTAAATAAAATAAAGCAGTTCAGTATCTTATCCTCACACACCTGTTTATAACCGTCTATCCAACCACAGCTCAGACGTCGAGCACAACTAATACTGAATCAGTACCAACAACGAAGACATAGCACAGTACATGGAACGGCATGTCACAGATCACCAGCACAACCGATCAAACCTGGAATGTGATGTGACAATTGAACATAAATTTTCAGTTATCAGTCTCATCTTTTGAGGTCAATCGATGCACATCATCACTACATATAGACTGAGAATATTTGCTGCTGGAATTATGAATTGACGAAATCACAAATGGCCAGTGTCAGTTGACATACTTGTCAGATCCGATGTTTGGGAATGATAGAAATGTTACACGTACGCATACAAGCAACTCTCTTACTCTTGGCGACCAACTTGATTCTGTGTTTCTGACAAATGTCAAAAATGTGGAGAAGACTAATCTGCGACATATATGATGCCTGTCATAATGACAGGAATAAGACAAAACAGATTATCTTTTGTCTTGTATGGATCACATGAGAAATTTGACTTATTTACGTAGTTCATAGAATGGTAGTGTGAATGATAGTACCTGTGTAATTGAGTGCGATAAGTTGTGATGCAGTTAACTTCAGCAACCAGTGGTTCCAATAGACTAGTGTTATAGTTGTCACGGAAGGCTTTCAGGTTTGACTTTTCTATATAATTAGGTTTATTAATAATTGCTGTAGCCCATACCTTTTGTCCGGCTTATTATTATTATTATATTATTTGTCCCTTGGGTTCCTAGTGGAACATAGGGCTTCAGTAGCACATCTTCATTACACTCTGTTCTCTGCAATCTTTTGAACCTGGCTCCATGACTGTCCATAAGCTCTCATTTCTTCCTTACACGATCTTCTCCATGTCACCGTTGGACGCCCAACTCACCGTTTGCCATCTGAGTTCCACCCGAGTGCCTGGTGCGTGATGTCCCGAATGGTCTTCTCAGTGTGTGCACAGTCCAATGCATCTCCACTTTCTTCTGGATGTTTGTTGGGCGATGGGTTGTTGGTTTGTTTGCTGCCAGCCAGCCAGTCAGTCAGTCAGTCAGTCAGAGTTCCTTGTTGCTTATTCTTTCTGACCATCCATCTGAGCCTCAGTATCGAGTCAGCGTAGGCAGCTGTTGATGAATGTCTGTAGTTTGCTGGAAATGCTTTTCGTGATACGCCAAATCTCGGAACCATATAGAAGCAGTGACTGACATTAGTCTTAAAAATCCTGATCTTGTTGACGCTTCATGCTGAGTGGAGTAGACCTCCACACTGATTTCAGGTTAGTGCAGGAAGGCCTGTGTTGCTGTCTTTCCGATCCTGACTAGTTTTGACGTCCTCATCTGTGCCACCTGTGGTTGAAACGATGCTGCCTAGATAGATGAAAGAGGCTACTTCCTTTAAGTTTCTCCCGTTGATGGTGATTGGTTGTTGTTGTTGTTGTTCATGGCATTGGTTGGGTATCTTCATCACCTCTGTCTTCTCTACGTCCACCTGAAGGAAGTCCCGTCTTCGCTGCCTCACCTCCTCTGCCAACTTGTTGGTTTCTGTCTGTAGATCTTCGAGTTTGTGCGACGAAACATTGGACATAAATCATCATCGGCGAAATCTAGCTCTTCTAGGATCTTTTCCGCGGTCCAACGTATCCCCCTCTCCTCGCTGCTCACTGTTTGCTGTTTGCTGTTTGCAGTCCAGTCCAGTCGACCACAATCAGGAATATCATGGGTGATAGTAGACAGCCTTGTCTTACTCCTGTCTTCACTTCAAAGGCGTCACTGAGCTTTCCATTGTGAATTACTCGGCATGTGGCGTCTTCACATAGCTGTTGAATGAGATTGATAAAGGTTTGTGGTATTCCGTAGTGTTGAAGCAGTTTCCAAATCACTTCTCGGTCGACGCTGTCGAAGGCCTTTTCAAAATCAATGAAGTTGAGGTAGAGTTAAGTTGACTGCCATTCTATTCTCTTTTCTATGATGATGCATAGCGTAGCGTTGCAGTTTGGTCCGCACATGATTTGTGCTTTCTGAATCCAGCCTGTTCCGGTCGTAATTTTGAATCCAGCGCATCCTTTAGTCTCTCCAGGATGATGCGGCTTAATATTTTGCTTGCTCTGGGTGGACAGGAGTATGATTCCGCGCCTGTTCCTGCAAACACTTAGGTCTTCCTTCTTCAGGAGTTTGATAAGGTAGCCCTTCTTCCAATCAACCGGCAGGTACCTTCCCTTCCTCCCAGACCTTCTGCAGTAGTCGTGTGAGCATGTCCGCTGTTGTCCCTACGTCTCAGTGCTTCTGGCGGGATTCCATCTGGTCCTGTTGCATTCTCGTATTTCAGTAGCCTTATGGCATTCAGGACTTCGACTTTGGTCGGAGGACTTGTGTCCACTTGTAGTTCTGTAGCTGCAGGTGGTATTTCTGGACGAAGTGCAGGTGGTGGTCAATTCGAAAGCTTTCCGAAGTGGTCAGCCCATCGTTTCCTTTGTTTCTCTTCTTCGGCAATTAGATTTCCTTCATCTTTTATTGGTTTCATGTTTGTTGATCTCTTCCCTCCCAGTTAGAGTAACCTAGTTATTTAATACAATGTTGTCAGGTATCTGTCTCTCCTGCCAGCGGCCTGTTCTGCTTCACTTGCCAATGTGTTATAGAAGTGTCTTTTGTCTTTGCATGCACTCTTCCTTACTTCTTTGTCAGGCTTAGTGATTACTAAATTACCTTAAGCTTTTGAATAGCATCTCGAAGTCCCTTCTTTTATCTAGCATACTACAGGAAGGATGTTCATTATTTTCGGATTTACAGCAACAATCAATCAAATTAGTTTTTAACCTCTCAAACTCACACCCTAAAACTGATATGATGCTAGATCTTGCGTCTGACCAAATAGGTATCAAATCACACATTATTTTCTAAATGGTTTCCTTGACTACGTTTGTCACAAAACTTGAGACCAGAAGATAAAGCTTTTATGTGATGCTTAAGCAGATGATGAGAAAGTCAAAAACCTCTCGATAGTAGTTAATTAAAGAACCACATTTTGCATCAGCCCTTTGGTCAATGAAATTCTCATTTTGTTTTCCTTTGTTTTCATTACTTCATGAGCATATCTCTCGAACGATACCATGATTTATGTATTCGTCTTTCACGCACTAGTGGTTGGAAGTGAAGACAAAATTTTCCTCATGGTTGTAGAGATTGGCATGATTTGCAACTTATGGAAGATTCGACCTTCAATAAGGGCAGGGTATTCGTTACGCTATCCTTTTTATCTTTACTTCATGGCGAACAACTTATGTGCTATTCCTCCTAATATGCAAGAAATGCGAAAGAACATAAACCTCAGGTATTCTACTAGCAGTTCAGTTCTAAGCATATTCATTTATTCACTGTTACGGAATTTAAAGACACGAAGTAATTAATTAGTGTTTCTGCTCAAAACACTGAGTACACACATTCTGTTTCATCCAATGACTCTAGTCATTCTCTAAAATAACGTAAAGGGACATATGCTGTACGTTGACAAGATCTATGCTCTCGACTTCAAAACTTGTACTGATGTTCTCACTGATCTTAATATTCTAGCAATAATACTTTGTACAACGATTGGTCACTGGAGAGCAACGAATATAATGTTGTGTGATTCTGAGTGCATACATAATTTTATCAATCATTTAGAAATGTGGACACCAGGCTAGGAGGCTCACCATCGTGGTGCACTTTCATGGATATCAGTTGAATGGGAGCGACCAGCAGGAAGCTCTAGACATAGGTTCCGTGCTTGTTGGCACTCATCTGCAACCCCAAGGAAACTGATATCCCTTCCGAGATCCAAACCAGTATCACCCGAAGTAGCAATCAGAGACGTTACCACTGGTTTATGAATGCTAATGTTCTACTACCCGGACTAAAAGTTAAGAAGGATCCTTGTGATTATCACGTCTCAAGTGAGAAAAGAGGTTTATCGGTTGTTAAGCTGAATGTCATGATATCAAGGTAACGTCCAGAGACGCCTTTCTAATACAAAACAATAACATAGAGTCTCTAAATATTCACACATTTGTAAGCTAGTGAGCAAGCTCGAGTGTCTGAATCCATGCGTTTACCTATACCACTGAGCAATCCTAGGGCAGAAAACAGCTAACACATGCTTTTCTAACGCTAAAGTTTGATATGCAAGTAGTAAATAAGTTTTTAAAATAACCAAATCTAGGCTTTTTAACGAACTGATGCAGAGTAAAAGGGAAATATACTAACGGACAGCAGGCAACCAAAAACGAATAACATGTAGAGACCGGCGATATTACATAATTTCATATTCTCGGTAAAAAGCGCACTTCCATGCCCACAGGAAACGAAAAACGGCAAAAATCAACATAAACCCTACACACAAGTGTATCGGCTCAAGTTGCCACACTTCACAGTAGTATACAAAGAACAGGTGGATAGAAAAA